CTATTATTGCATCCTTGGGATAAACCCTTTTTGATTCTGTTTCTTTTTTAATGTACATTTTATTCAGTTAGGTAATCTTTCACAAGGATTTTTCACTCTATATTTTTATGTGAAGTTTGCCTGTGATTTTCTTATATTGCTATTATCGAGTTATATTAGTATCAAGGTTATATTAGTCTCGTAAAATAAGTTAGTCTGTTTTCAATATTTGAAACAAGTTATGTAAAATAAGGATTATCTATTAAATATTATTATAATGGAAAAAATCCAATAAAGAATAGGGTAGAAATAGGAAATTATATTTGAGCTTACACTGAAACATAAAGTTATTGTTACTATAAAAATGGCTGCTTAAAAAATGAATGAACAGATAGGGATTTAGCTAACTGCGGATGGAGTACTTTTCTAAATTCTGGGATGTGAGATACAAGTGTTTGTGCAATAAATAAATGAATTAATGGTCTTAAACATATTAACTTAACTTTAATACTGTTCAGATCCCTATCCAAATTCGAAGAAAAGAGTCATAGAAATTGGGGATTTGAGAATGAATAAAATAAGGATACATTAGATGTCTGATGTTTCAAGATTTACTCCTTGTTAAGCCACTGTTTCTTGACTCTGGTGACATATTAGAATCACATGAGAAGGTCTTAAAATAATTAATGGCCAGACGCCAACCAGGACCATTGCAGAAAGAGTTTCAGGGGGGTGGGTGGTGAAAAACCAGCATCAGTATTTTTAGAAAGCTCCCCAGGTGACCTTGATGCTTGGTGAGGGCTGAGAGCCACTTTTCTAGATCTAACGATAGGACGTTAAGGTTGTTTTATTGGTTTCGAGAAACATGTGTGTGAGGACCAAGAGAAAGCTCAAGGAATGAATTAATCCTGCTGTTGTGACCGCCTTCTAGAGGACTGGCCATAATGGGGATTTTCCATTTTACTCTTTACTGTTTTGAAAAAAACCTTAACCTGAATTTATGTGTAGGGGAGCTCACCTGCCTACTTGTCAGATATAATCATCTGATGATCACTGTGAGTTGTAGAGATACAAAACACACTTTTCACAATTTTTGTTGTTTGTTTTTGTCCTTCACGCTCATTCCTTCCTACATTTCATTACATATGCAGCAGCAGCCGCATTTCTCATTTTCAGTAAATTTTTAATGTTTAAAATATCTGTCCTTTTGTTTTCATTATCATGGGTCTATCTCACTGAATTAACACTTGAAACATCTTCACTGCTCTTGCACCGAACAGGCACGGTGGGATTAATGATGTTTGTTTAAAATTCTTAGAGCTGGGCATAAAGACCTGTCAACACTTTATGGATTGACCAATGACTCAATGCTTTTCACTCTTTGCCTTATTTATGAAAATGTGTGATGTGAGCATTTTTGAGTAAAGACCTCCTACAGAATGAAATGATATTTGGAAATTCACGAGGACCATGCGTCCTTGAAGGAAGTCATTCTAGTTCCCAAGAAAAAAGTGTAAGGA